CCCAGTACCCACCCCCCCAAAAAATTACCTTTCAAAAAAACAAAAAAACAAACCCAAAAAAAGGCCTGGCATGGTGGCACACGCCTGTAATCCTAGCGCTTGGGAGGCTGAGGCAGGAGGATCGTTGCAAGTTTGAGGCCAGCCTGGGCTATAAAGTGAGCTCAAGTCCAGCCTGAACTGCATAGCGAGACCCTGTCTCAAAAAAGACAAAAAAAAAAAAAAAAAGAATTGGTGATTTGCAGTCCCTTTGGTTTATCTTGGCCTTTAGCTCTAGGCCTGCAACAGAAAAAAACAAAACCAACCTGGTACTGGGATGGCACTGAGCCACAGCCCCAGTCCTTTTTAGTTTTGGGTTGAGACAGAATCTTGCTAAATTGCTTAGGCTAGCCGCGAACTTGTGATCTTCCTGCCTCAGCCTCCTGTGTTGCTGAGATTACAGACATGTGCCATCATGCCTGGCTCTGCAGAAGTGTTTCACCCCATTGAATTTTATGAAGCTGCTTCAGATTTCAAACTCTTTTCGAGGAGAAGTACATGGCAAAGTTTTAAGTAATATATGGCTTTTACCCTGAACAGAAATCACTGAAATCCTGGAAGGATATGTTAAAAGCCTGTTTGCTTTGCCTAGGAAGAACCTGAGCCTTGGACAGAAAGAAAGTGGCTTGCTCACAGTATATAACCTGTGCTATAGAGGCAAGAATCTGACTCCTGATTCCCAGTCCAGGGCATTTTTCACTAAATCCTGCTGCTCCCTCCAGATGTGCCTTCCCTGATGGGGAGACATTTGTGTGCAACACATACTGAGCCTGTTAGAAGTGAGCAGGGATCCGAGGCTATTGGGTTTCCTACCAGGAACTAAGTGTCAGGGCACAACCTTAAGTGAGATCCAGTTACTATGGGGCCGCAATCTCCCTGAGCACATCGTCTTACAACGTTGCTGGCGTTGGAAGCTGTCAACTCAAAGGCCCCCAAGATCCTGGCATTAGGGAAGATTCTGCAGTGTGAAGGTCACTGCTGGACTTCCGAGGCTCGAGGAAACCCTCACCCAGACAGGGTCCTGTGGACCCACAGCCGCTGAGGGCTGGTCTTTGGGGTGGGACTAACGCAAACAGACCATCCCACTTTCACATTCCAGCTTTTATTGTTCGGTTTAGGATCCGCCTTTACCTTCCCAAGGCTGAGGCAATGCTTCCTGGCAATTTCATCCTCCTGGGAAACCGACCCAGAGAGCTCAGGAGACACCAACTTACTGGAAAAGTACAGCAGGGAGGAAATTGGAACGCACTAGGCTTCTGGCATTCCCTCCCCTGATTCCCTGGTGACAGCCAAGATCCGGGAAACTGCACTTACATCTGTATTTCCAGAGCCTAGCACACTCCCTGGCATGAAGTGAGTACCCTTAAAATGTTGGGAGAGTGAATGTATCATCAGATGGTGGCGTATGAAATTTGTTTGACCACTTTTCAAAGACCAGCATGTTTGTATGCTTTATTTAAATTATGTTTATTGGTATGGTTTACATATACATAATGATCATATTCATCACAGAGAATTTGTACCTGTCTGTGCTACACCTTGATTACTCTTTTTCCGATCACCTCTTCCTCCACCTTCTGTCTGTTGTTTTATTGTGGGGTGAACCTTCCGGGCACTGTGGCTCCCCAGCTGTCTCATGAAGTCATTAGTATCCACGCGGATCATAGTTACATTTAACTTTTCATGAAAAGACAAAGATTATTCCTAGCTCACTGGTGTACCCGATGTTCCTCATCTCTCTTCAGGCACAGAGAAATGCTTCCAGAATTTAATGAGATACCAGCTCTGTCCAGACTTCAAACATAATTTATTTAAAAGTAGACAGTCTCTAAACATTCTTATGCGGTGTGCCATTGGATAATAGAAAAAACAGAAAATCAAGTTCTGGACCACGTAGCAAATTTTGCAGTTCTGTGAGAACATATCTGATAGGAAGGACAGAGCCACTAAATAAACTTGGATTTTATCAAACTCAAAGTTACATTTTTGCTTCCTTGCTCCTTTTTTTGTGATACTGGGGATTGAACCTAGAGATTTCCAGCTGAGCTACACCTCCATCCCTGTTTATTTTTATTTTTATTTTGAGACAGGGTTTTGCTAAGTGGCTAAATTGTCCAGGCTGGGCTTGAAGTTGTGATCCTCCTGCCTCAGCTTCCCAGAGTGCTGGGATCACAGGTGTACATCACCACCTAGGGCTTGGTTTCCTTGTTTTTAAACTTGGGTATTTTTTGGTTACGTATGAGGATCACTCCCAACCTGGTGACACACTGGGGAGTAGGCATCATCAGTCTGTGGTCTTGGGGAAGAAATGGGGAAAGGGCAAGTCCAGGGCTCGGGGAACTATTTCCTCGCACCCTAATCTGAAGGAGCAGCATGCTGCAACCGGAAGCAGGGGGCTGTGTTGTTTCACAAGGCTTGTCTACATGAACAGAAGCTCAGCATCTTCTTCTGCCTCTAGCAGTGACCTTCCTATAACTTCAAATCACTTCTGGGACTTGCTGTGCAGTCAGGGAAGAAAGAAACAGAAATGTATAAAGGAGGGGGGGATCAAGCTAGCACTGCTACTGGGCCTGAACTGTACCTTGTCCTCATAATATTCCCTATAAAATACAGCCAACGGGGGCTGGGGATTTAGTTCAGCGGCATAGCGCCTGCCTGGCAAGCGCAAGGTCCTGAGTTCGATTCCCGGTACCAGAAAGAAACCAAAAAACAAAACAAAACAAAAAAACCCCAGCCAACCTTAAAGTACACCCACATTAAACTTGAGGATGGCGTCCTGCAGCATGGAAAAGTTAGGCTGTTAAAATGCCAGAGATTCTTGGGCTCAGACCCCTCCCTTACACCTGGTGTGAAGCCCGGGGTGGCCAGGTGTCTTTCTAGACAGTGCCAAGTACGGCTCCAAAATGCCCTTTCTCGTTGAGCTTCAGGCCTCAGCCTCCTGTGGCTTGCTGCTTCCGGCTATTTTAAGCTCAGCCGTGACAGCACACCCAGCTTTCTGCTCTCCTTTCTTCTCTCCCTGCGGCTTCCCTCAAGGTCTGAAATTAGCTGTGACTTCACCGCCAGGCTGGAGCTGGGTGCTGGCGGTTGTCTCCAGAATCTTCCCAGCACCTCCAGGGGAAGGGTGTAGCCTTGACTTCGGAGGCGACAAGCTGAGACTCCGAGGTGTGGCCGGGCCCACTAGGAAGGAAGGGGAGCTGGGAGTCTGGGAGTCGGACCCTGGGTCAACTGCAGAGACCCCCCCCCCTGCCCGCCGCATCCCCAGGGGTTGTTTTCTCTAATTCAGCTAAGAGGAAACTGAGAGGTGTGGGATCAGATGACTTGCTCAAGGGCTCAGCACCCTGATGGGAATGTCCCTGGTTCACCCAGAGATTTTCTTTGGATGCAGAGTGCAAGGATTAAGGAGCTTGCTGCCTCTTTCAAACCCTGCTGCTTCAGGCCATTTCCCGTGGTTGTAAAGAAACATCCTTGAACCAGCAACAGGGCCCTGAATTTACCAGTAACAAATAGAACAGAGAGAGAGAGAGAAGGACCAGGGGAAAACTGGAGTAGTGAAAGCAGAAGGTATCCATGCACAGAAGATTAAAACATGGATTCACTCAAGCCCTTCTGTCCTGAGACCTCACAAGGTCTCCTAGCCTCCATGGTTTCTGTTGGCTTCGCTGGTTTCTAACTTGGGGGCAGAGGTGATGTCAGGCTAAAGTGAGTATGTGAAAGGTGCTTTGGACATCCTGTGGCCCGTTAGTAAGGAAGGCAGTGTCGGCCCGGCGTGGTGCACGCCCGCACTCCCAGTGCTCTGGCGGGCGACAACCCCGAGTGGAAGGCCAGCCTAGGCTCCAGGGTGAGTTCAAGGCCAGCCTGGAACACATAGCAAGACCCTGTCTCAAAACAAAAACAAAGGCCCAAAATAAGCAAATAAAAACTAGAACGATGTACTCAAGCTGTAACGGCAGAATTCGGGTTATACTCCACAAGAAACTGAAAAGACTCTGTTCAGAACAACCAGAACTTTAATTTGAGGATAGCCACCCTTCATCCCTGACTTGCAAGTCAGGGAAGTGGGCTTGGGCCTGAGCTTCATTCCCACCTTATATACATTTTTGGTTTCCACGGTAACAGATTGGAATGTGGTAGCCCCGGCCACACCTTGTTTTCCTTGTGCCGTGTGACCGGGTCAGGCTCCGGTCATGAGCCCAACCACAATGATACATATTTTCTGTACTCTGCTCTATATGTCCCCCTTTAGATAACCATACATTTCCTTTATGGTTACAATGTTTATCTAGGGCCAGGGAAGGGATGAAACAACCCAGGCAGGGTCATAGGTGATTATCTAGGCCAGGGTGTTCTTTGTCTTTGGAGAAGCACTCCAGGGCTAAGTCAGGACTGCAAGGTTAACTTTTTACAACCCCTCCGGGATGTTTCCCAAGACACATTTGAGGCTTGCACTAAGACTAGAATTACTCTTTTTAAAATGATATGCTAAGAGTCACCGTCCCCTACGAAGCCCCCCTTCTACTGTCTGAAATGAAGCTCTAAGCACGGCTACCATGGTGCAATTCAAATTGGTTGATGTCCCGGCACGGGTGTTGAGGGCACCAAATGTTCATCTCAAGCAAATCTATAATATTAAGAAACTACTACACTAACAGTGTCAGGTTACTAAGGTAATTTATATACTTGCGGTAAAAGGTTGACTAGCAAAGGAGCAGTGCCAAAGAAAGGGATCCAAGTTTAAATCTGGCTGAACTCAAGCCAGTGTTAAGGGTTGTCCGTAGATTACTCATTATGTCAGGCCAAGGCTTTAAGTTATTTTGAGAGGGAAGGTTAATTCTAATAAAGCAGCTACTACAGAAAAGTAAAGAAAGGATTGCAGGGTGACCTCTGGGACAAGCACACGCCCTGCTGGGCGCAGAGTGACCCATTCGCAGGTCTCCCCTGATT